GGAAGGAAAAAAATTATCTACTTAAAGATAGAGATTAAATTTAGACAACTACTTTCAATAACAACCGATTCCTGAAAATAGCCACCTCTGACAAAGAAAATTACTCTGAATGACTGAAAAAACATTTATAATTCCTCCCCTCCCAGAAGACATAACTGTGATAAAACCACAATAATCTAGAAAAGAACCTTTGTTGTTGTTGTTTCAACTAACCGGTGCCACAGAACATCAAACATTCAAGATGATGATAGCAGGTCCATGAGTAAGAGGTAGGTACCAAAGGTACAATGCCTTAGATACACCGACCTCTCACATCCCGGTCATAATTCCAGCTGGGGTTAACAGGAGTACTGCTCTACTACAACAGCCGGAACAGAGAGCTTCACAGACAACCTAAATGCAGTTTCAAGAGAAGAAAAAAGTAAAATGTCTCTGAGAGGGTGCAGGTGGGATAACGAAGAAAGGATGCAGCAGAGATAAAGGATGCTTTCCCACTACGTATAGAGCACCGACACCTCTCCTCAACTCTGCTTGAGAGGAGCAAAACACTGCAGAGGTAAAAATGTCATTAGACACTTGATTTCCAACTATGGAAGCACTCTCTGCTACTACTAACTCAGGTAGCATTAGGACAACGGAGAACACTAGGTGGGAAGAGCAAACATACCCAACAGTCCCAACAAAGCCAATGCTGATGGGAACATATGCAATTTTTTTTTTGTGCAGACAGATCCCAGCGTTCTTAGGGAACGCTGCATTTTATATTTGCAGCTTTCACTGTTACCAAGTACACCCACACTCTTTACTACAGGAAGACAGGCGCTGTATCTCCAAGTTACAGGAGTAATTAATTGAAAATCGGTAACTTCCAAAGACACCAAGGGAAAAAACAAACAAACAAAAAAAGCCCCGTGCCTCCCCTCTTCCCCCCAAATGGTGCAAGGATAAAATTTGACCACTGAGTTGTGTTCTGATTATACTAATGAATTAAAGAGTACTCCTCTATGCACTCTAAGTCAGGGACAATCAAAGAAAGGCTGGCTAAGGCTGCCTCTGATTAACGCCTACCCTTCCCCACCTAATCATTCCTGCTTAAAGCCAGTTTAACTCTCTGTGCCAAGGTATGGGAAACTAGATCAGCGGACGGGTCTGGCCAAAAACTACCTCAAACACATAGGATATCCCACAGGTTAAATCAGAGTAAGGACAGGAATGAGAATCTGGAATTGCTTCTTTTGGCCTGTACATGCCAGCTTGAAATATCTGTTGAACTACAGTCCAAACTGTGAAGTCCCACACTGCCAGTTTTGCCGACAATAAAACTGGTATAAGAGCATCTTACTTCCGCACGCAGCCAGTTGCTCATTCCCAGCCCTACTCCCTTCTAACAGGTTACCACACATTCACTGTGCCACTGTGCAGCATCTCTAAATTGGATCAGTAAAACGATCCAGGATAAAAAAAAAAAAAAAAATTCAAAAGCACGATCAAACCTGTTAAGTAAACAAACATTAAGAGGATCACGGCCTGAAATTTAAGTCCAGCACCTGAAAACACCTTTTTGGCTACTGGACCATGGGATAAATCACTGTGCTAGCTTAGTGCAGTTAAAGAACAGAAAATAGATGGTGGCCATTATGATCCTACGAAGCGCTAATTTCCAAGAGAAATCTCTGGGTCTGGGTCACTTACATTTTACACAAAAGACAATATTACAATCACGTCAAGAAAAATCCAACTTCACACAATTTCTCTGAAACAGAAAGGTTACACCTTGGAACATACCAGACCTATACACAGCTACAGCCTGGGTATAAAACAGCAGAGAAAGTGAAGTGTAAAACAGAAGAAAAGCAGCCTTAAACTAAATAGCATATATCTGCTACATTCCATTTACACACAGGACTTTTTTATTTTTTAAACTTAACAATAGTGATACTCTAGAATACAAAATATTACCCCCATTGGCGTGTTGAACTACTGTATATAAAAAGATTACCTGCACCTGGTTAGTTTTGAACTCAGAGCTGATGACTTACAAAGTAGACCGTACTACTGGGTACACCTCATCAGACACCACGCTTCAATGAGCCCAAGGAGCATTTAGAATGATTTTTAATTGATAATTCAGTGAAAACCTAAGAATTTTTAGGTTGCCCATTCATTAAGTCCAATTGTATTTCAGTGGGGTTTAAGAAGAAAATTTATATACATTGTTATCAATTGCTGATAAACGGGTCAGATTTTTAGAGACTTGCATAAAATGATCAGAAACATTTTAGATCTATAAATCCTTGGCCAATGAGCTTTTAATCTCCATAACTCTAAAAAACAGTCATAGCTAAAATTATATAATTAGCTCTTTCTGAGCTATTTTAAAGTGTATCTTTAACATAGAATGTGGACAAATATTTGTTGCATGTATCTAATAGACTTGTAAACATAATTTATTGCAACATGGCATAGCAGCATTACTCAAGCATGGTTTTTTTGCTTCAGTGCCACCCAACACTGCTACACTGTATTATATCTAAGCGTACCATACACAGATAAAAATTTGTGATCTTTTCAGCTTAATTTTTCTATGAAAAATGTACATCTTTTGAGTCAGTCTGGTCAACAGATACTTGGAGTAGGCCAACTAAGCAGTTTTCAGTTGCTTTAAATACGTCAAGGTTTAAAATTCTTAATAGTTACAAATTTAGTACAAATGGTACAATTTCTAAAATTGATGAGTGACAAAACATCCTTTTCCCTTGTATTAGAAGACTCCTGAAATCTTTTACGATGCTCTAGCACCTCTATTCTGTTTGCCTTGGTTGAATGCTAAGTGCATCTCTGCATAGCAATCGTTTTACCTGTCCCTGCAAAGGATGCCGAA